AGGTGAGGGCGAAGGTGAATATGTGAGGGAAGGTGCTGAAGAAGTCGAACATGTGGAAACGCGTCTAGTGTGTCCAATTTGGATATCTTTCGGAGTAGGCAGTGGAATCTGAAGAGAGGGTAGGTCGTTATCATTAACCTGGGAATGAAATATTAAGGATGGACTAATCAAATATAAAGAGCATTAAATTCACATACAGATTTAGCAGGAGACGGGGGAAAGAATGTCTCCTCCTCTTTCACAGAAACTCGGAATAAAGAACTGATTGAGGGTAGACTGACAGTCATAATCTAGAGGAAAGAGGGAGGGATTGTAAATCGGAACTTTTAATATCCACCAGGGAGGAAGAAATATATGGAGCCTGCCGAAAATAGGGGAGACAGAAAAGAGTGCTACACAAACACGGATGCAAATTGAGGCGATGATTATTTTGTGTTTGGTCACTTGCCCTTTTCTAATGCGGCGAGCCTTTTCAAGTATAATTAGGGCACCATAGTGGTTTCAAATATAAAGTTTCTCTTCCCAGGTTTGTCCTTTTGTGGAGATAATAACCAAAAAATACAACAATAAAAGTACCGTTACGCGTGTGCAGACAAAGAGGTTATACTTAGGGGCCAGCGCTTACTTATAGCCGTGACACACTCTTTTTGTTACTCCCAAAATGGAGACTACTCAACCTGCAACTGCCAGTCTCCTTCCCAAAATTTCTATTGTACGTATTACTTTTGGTCTTAGTTATTAGTCAAGTTTTACTCTTCTTCTTCAAGCTAAAAAATGCGTCACCTGACTTGTCGGCAGCTACATATGTTATTCGAAATGAGACGCATACGCTTGGAAATGCTTTACGCTGGATGGTAATGAAGAAGTCCGTTTGTTTATTGTTTCCTCGTCTATTATCTTTCTGACAAATGTCATTTAATCAGTCCCGAAGTTGAATTCTGCGGTTATAGGTACTTTCTTTTTTCCTTGTCATTTTATCCGTTCGTGGGCATAACGCTTTGATAGTGTCCCTCATCCATCAGAAGAAAATATCCATATCCGAATACAAATGTATGGTACGCAGGCACACCATTTTTGTTTAATCGCCTTTATTTTTCTCATCGTTTACAGATGGCAAATCCTCCTTAACTGCTCTCCTTAAAGCTTTGGACGACCTCGACGACGTATTCCGAGTCATTCATGAAAAATACAAGGAGGACATGTCGAAGAAGGAGTACGAGCGTTTCCACGAAGAATCCTAACCATTTATCTTCGCAACCTAGCGTGAGATGTTGAATAATAAGCCCCATAGACCTAAGGTCCATAATCATCACAGGACATCCGGTAGACCATCATTCGTCTCTTCAGGATCGCTGGTCGTTGTATTTCACTGTCATTGTTGAGATGTATCAACCGAGTCAAACTCAAAAGTATCGTGATGGGATTATTATTAAAGCTCTTTCTAATACAATCTCTTCTACTTTAAAAAATCCTTTCCGACCTCGGTCTTCAATATTAGGCAAGTTTTTTTTGATGACGAAGCTCGCCGTGGACGACGTTTCTAGTGATTAAAAATCACATTTTAACTGTAATATTCGCCTCTTTTATTCGAATCCTCCATGCTGAGATAACTAGCTCTCCATTGTCTTCGCACAAAAACCTGTTGTTATTCACTTTTTTAGTAAATACTGACATGTACATATTCAATGTAACGGGTCGGACGGAAAAATGTCAACAGGAAAAAGAGAGGAACAATAGAAGTACTTGGAATACTTTATCTCCTGGCTGACCTAGATCTTGAGGAGGATTCTTTGTCAAGCCAGACAATAAATTTGTGAGGATTCGGATATCAAAGGCTTGGCTGACGGAAATCAACTCCAAGTTAAAGGTGCAATATGATTTCGGTTGAAAAAACTATATGTAATAATTATACAATATCTTCGATAATACAGCACTACAGGTCCAAGGCTATGACTTTACCAGGATGCATCCTCTAAAACAATATTGTTTGTCTCTTTTTATATCAACGAAACACAAAAAAGCTCACTTGTTTTCCTCTTTTCCAGCCTTTTTTCATTCATCAGATTCGTAACCAGGCGGTCCATGATATTGACATATGATTTTAGGGACGTCTTCTCCCAGTCTGAAAAAGAATTAGGCTTCTAATACAATACACAATAATGTTGATTTACTCGCCTGAGTGATGTGTTTCACTACCTAATTGATCTAATTCTTTGATTAATTGTTGCACGGTTGGGACCTTTTCAGGATCGAAGTCAAATACATGCTCCGGTTCAACAGGAACACAGACACGTCCTAAATATTTGTCTCGGCACTTGGGGCGTGCACTAGGTAAATAGCTCACCTGTATTCGGATGCACACAGAAGGGAGCCTTTAGAAGATGATTTCGGTGTTTGGTGACTTCAGAATCCAGACGAGGATACATGAACTCTAAAATAATATCCTCCATGGCTGCAGTATAGCGATCCTGTCATTGTTGGTTAGACCCTTTCTAAACAATTTAATTTATTGTACTACCGTGACCGGTACGTTGATTTCATTGGGGTCTTTTTGAGCTTCGGATTTGGTCGCATGGCCTTTCTTTTCCTAATATGGGAAACAGTCAGATTTGATTTGTTAAAAAAACATACTGAATATGTACCTTGTGCTTAGCAGCAGTCATTGCTTTTCTCAGATCATCCCATTTCTCTTCTGACGTGCGGTTGAGATCAGCGGCCCAATCTTCTCGTAGATTTCTCTTCATGTCTGGACAGCGGGTCAGCGAGAGAGAAGCGTCTACGTTAGGTAAACAGACCTGCATCAGTCAAATATTCAAGTAAAACTTTCCAGTTATCTTCTTCGCTAAATGAATCTTGGTCTTGCAATACGAGCTCGTAAAATGAGGATTTCAGATGTTGGAAGGCGGCACTTGAGTAAAACAAGTGAGTGGGTTTAAAAGTAAATTAGCTCAATATATACTTGAGCGCAGGATGAAGAGGAGATACACCCCCTTTTCCGAACCGTACATTGACCTTCTTCATCTGCTCCTTTCCGCCCTTGACCACCTCTAGCCAGCCCATAAGTGACTTGCGTTGGTCGTCTGTCAAAGCCAAAGCTTCCGGATCTGAGATCCACAAGTGAATACCACGACGACCCGAGTATACCCAAAGAAGATTTCGGAAACCAAACTGATTACGCAAAGCTGAATCAAGCACCACTACTGCCACGGCTATGAATCCCCAACAGCGTTTGCAAATTCCTTTCCCAGAGCAACATGTACGGATTGAATCATAATCGGTCATATCGATATCGAAAACCAGCTCCCGCAGTATTGGTTGAAGTACTCCTGGTCGAAGTGTCTTTTTATCTTTGGGCTACAACAACTATGAATGACTAACGTTGGTCTTAAACTCTTAAAAACGCACCATGGCTGAATATACAGCTCCGATCTCGAATCTTGAAGGCAACAGCTTTAACACTTGCTTCCTAAAATCCTCCATGGTCATGAACGAGTTGTATCGCAAGTATATATCTCCGGGAAGGGTAAAAGCAAATTCTCGATGCGTGAACATTTTTGAGGGTACATGCTCGTGATTTAACCACTGAAAGACAGATTTGAAAGGATACAGTCTTTGATAAAATACCCCCATAACATCTTCAGAGATTGGCTCATTTTGGATTTGCATATCTTAAAAAATGAAGGCTATTGGTATAATCAAACTAACACGTTGAATACTTACTTGAAGAAAGGATGATAATATACTTATGGCAAAGTAGAAACGCGGTGCGTCACGCGTAGTTACACTCTTCGTTACATTTTTTTGCCTCTTTTGGAAGAAACAACCTCATAACATCAATTGAATCTAAGTTCATGAACAATCGGTGTATAGCAAGTCTGTTTTTTGATATTCAAGTTGGCCGCATACGAGGATTTATCCAAGAACTATCACTGAAAGTGAAACTACTTTTTTAAGAAAGCATCTCCTGAAAACACGAATGAATTCAGAATCTACAAATGTAGAAAGACCTTCTCAATATTAACCGGTCACCGAAATAAGAACCCTGAGCCTTCCCAATAGTCTCGCCGACGGCACAAGTGACATCCAGACGCAGGGTTGGAATGTGACCGCATGAGTAAATAAGTTATAACAATAATCAAACGAAGGGGCTACTCCATCTGAGAACAACGTAAAGATAAGAAAAGGCGAGGAAAAATATCAATAATGCTTTCTTTACCTTCGATCAAATCCACCATTTTTTACAATTCCTGCTACGGGGAGCGACCAACGTGGATAAGACCCGTCGAAGGATATCGCAGGGTGAATCGCCTTTAGTACAACAGGTTTAGGTAAACGTGGCACTTGGGAACCTGCAGTCGGAGGACTAAGCGTGATTATTGGAGGGCGGGGCATTTGTGTAAATATTCCAGGTAGAGGCTTCGAAGTCATCGTGTATTCCTTGACTTTAAAATCATTTTCTGGCTGAACGACCATAAATTGGGTATCATCATAGTAGGGACGTGCTCGGCGTCGACGCCTCCACAAATGTATATAAACAACGGCAGTGAGCAGGACAATCGATGGAAGCACAATACCCAACAGAATGATGCTTAGTTTGTTACCGGTCACCTGAGAATGCCTTTTCTGAAACCCCATTGTTGAATAAATAGACCTTGAAGTAGTAGAAGTAGTAGTAGTGCTGAAATCAGCTATCATTAGGAAGTAAGAAAGTAGAGTAAGTGACTGAAGAGAAAGGAATGAGCCATTCCATATAGTTTGACAACTTCATTAGACCCTGGCCGAGTTCGTGAAATGCAACCGGGCAAGTATCGCCGACGGGGTAGGATAAGACGATAAGTACATAAAAAAATATGACGACAGCATTCGGACATCGGCGATTGCCACGCCAATAGGGGAATCGACGTTCGAATAGCATTTATTGCAGTCAGCAAATCATGCTCTTTGAGGAAAGGAAAAAGAGGGGAGGGGGGTTTGCAAGTGTAGAGAAATAGGGTAAAAACCGACAACAGCAGGATTTGAACCTGCGCCCTCAGAGAGGATCAGATGCGTTGTGAAGAAAATTCAAGTCTGACACCTTAACCACTCGGTCATGTTGCCCTAAATTATTACCGTGAGTTTGTCTTTATATAAAAGAAATTAATCAAAGTACAACATGATACTATCCCTTTCTTACAACGATCCTGCATAAGGAAAAAACTATAGTATACAGTACGTGGTATCATGCTATTGCTACTGTTGAAACAGCTCGAAGGAAACGGTTATAAGCAGTATTGTGAATATGACGAAGACGGTTAGCCTCATCGACAAAATCAGACTCAATGTCAGGTTGCTGGGAGGAAAATTTAGCAAGGGAGTTAAGCTTGTAAACAGCAACATACTTCATTTTTATCCTCTCGAATACTGTCAAAGCTTAATAGTAACTTGCCTGACATCTCCGAAAGAGCAGCACGATGCCGCGGGTCTGTACGGTCCCGCAGAGCATCAGGAATTATTCGAATGAGCTGAGGAACAAGATTTTTAAGCCTAGAAATCTCGGTCGCTTCAGAAGCGTCATGAACAACATTCTCCTGAGAGACCGCGAGGAGATGGGGTAGTTTTTCCATGACATCCGCATAGTCCAAAAAGATCTATTCAGGCAACGGACATCAGTGGTTATAAAACGGATGATGAAATACATACCTTCCCGCGAAATGTCCAATCATCCACAGCTTGAGGGTCAAAAGGGCGGAATAAGGCGCGTAATAATGCCAGATCGCCTTTAATAACAGCCTCAGGTGCCAAGTCATATACGGCAATATCATGTGCCATTCGTTGTTCGTCCGCTTTAAGGAAATGTTCATACGCGTCAAATGTTCGACCCTCGTATTGAGCCAAGCAGCCCTGTATTAATTATTAGGCAAATACAAATATTTTGATAAGAAGATCGCCACGTACTAAGGCATACTCAATCCAAGTATTAGGTATGCTTAATGATTGCAGGCCAATAATTTGCCAATCTTCGAGCGTATGTGCTTGTCTACAAAGTAAGTCCTGTAAAGCTTTCTTTCGACTGTGAACGGGATTGGTGTTAATAATTAACAACGTCAATTGCAACATACCCATTGGATCCTTCTAAATGTAATAGAACAAACGCAGCTTTTTGTAATTGTCCCAATGCTTCTAGCTGAGTTGCATAAGCGCATGTTACATTATCTGCAATCTCGCTGTGGCCCTCCACTTCTGGTTCCTCTTCGATGGTGTCTCCCACACGTTGTCGATCGGAAAAATCCTTGATACGCATCGCACGAGAAAGAAGGATATACGTATGCCATGTCATACGATAGTCCAGATGCGACTCAGTAAACCCACGAGGGTATATCGCCCTTTCAAGAGGTATCTGGGCAGCAGCTAGACGGAGCAGCTCGAAAGAACCATCCGCCTCATCCAAAACAACTGCCTGTGATTCCGTGGTGGAAACTACACTCGGGGGGGCTATCTTTGGGGTATTGACCTTTTGATACGATAACACGGGAAAAGGGGTCCCATCACGGCCCAGGTTCCTTTCAAACTGTTCAAGCGCACTTTCGAACCCTTCTATACTTTCACTGCCAGGTCCATACCATAACATCAATCCAAAGGCTCGTTTCCAATCTAGACCGTTAACCACATTGATCTCACTTCCACGAGCGGCACCTCCTAAGTCCGATGGTGGCCGCCATGTAGTTGACACACCGGCCAATAGCGCCATACATTTCCGATAACCATCATGAATAAGTTTATCAGCACCTTCGTGCGCCCAGCTAGTGAGTTGATTTTCGACATCAGTCCGATATTCCGCATCACCCTCAGCTTGCGAAATAAGCATTGCGAGATGAACGTTTCCTTCCGCCATTGCCGCATCGGTTGCTTCCTCAATCTGATGACCAGATAATCTTGTAAAAGCTCTTTCAGCCGAAGTCATGGTGGAGTCATTGTGGAGAGCAGCGACTATGCTCGGAGCCACGGCTGCTGTTAACCAATCCGCCAGTGCTGTACGTCGCTGGAATGCAACCAAGCGCTGTTTCATCCAAGGAGAGGCTAATATCGTGATGGGGTTTATTGGGTCAAACAAAGCAACTCCCTGACGCCAGACTTCCGCCTCGTGAGAATTATCATGGTTGGGGAATAAGGAAGAGAAGGTGGAAAAGGTGAGGGTTCTAGCAGGAAATGCGATGGGGTTTTCTTCGTCGTCCAGTTCGATGACAGAATGGTTAATTTGTGTCTCAAGTAACTTCGACGCACGTGTTTGTTCTATTTCCTGCATTGAGAACATGAGTTCAAATATAACATTTTCGGAACGTGAACTTACCTCGTCGTCGGTTACCATTTTAATGTTTTGTACATACACCGTCGACCTTTTATGGCTTTGTAAATCTCTATATAAAGAAAATACGAAAATAACAAACCCCAAGGAAACACTTGTTCGCGCTAGCAACCCTCCAGGACCCCAGCTAACACGGAATGAACGACCAGAGGACAAACCAGCATCAACATACGCTCCCTTCGCTTGCACCGAAAAAGACGCGACATCCTGCAACCGAACAACTTTCCGAGCCGGACGATATGGTTCCGGATCCAGTGACTTATCAAACGATGCACGCTGTTGTGAAAATCAATGACCGTATTTAGTTAAGCAAAAGACATCACGCATCACCTCTGAGCGATTCGGGCGCAAGCCATCACCTTCTGAGCTACGACTATGTTTCCGTAAAAGCTTGGATGATGGAGTCCCGACTTTGACAAGTTTGTCTCGTTCCTTCTCTTCTGGGGCTCTAAACAACGATGCTTGCATGACATGCAGTCGATGAGGCTCTAAGCCGAGCTGTTCAGGCCATGAAGGCAGGGGCGCACTGGTTTTGCGCCGTTGAAAGGCCTCTTCTTCCTCGTCATAATCATCTTCGTGGTAATAATCTTGCTCGTCATCGGTCGTTTCCCCAGAGACAGCACGAACAGGTTGCTTCGACTCTCCTCGCGGAATCGTGTCTTTTTTGGTTTGGCCATCGCGTTGGTACTTGGTTGAGTGGTCCTCTTTCGCGAAGGCGATGTGTTTTTCAGATTCTGTTACAGCATCCCCTCTTGGTTCCCTGTGTTTGACGCGACTTTGTAAAGGTATAGCAGTCGCTGTAGGTTTGCCGATGTCTATGACCCTCGAGTTCGTAGACTGTGTCTCTTCTCTGTTAAATAAGGCCTCTTCATTATAGCCTTTTTCTGGACGTTTTGAAGAAGTGTGAAGGGAAACTACCTCTTCGTCGCTATCGTCTGTTAGCCCAAAGCGTGCCATGCTTAGGCAAAGGTTGGTTTTAGACGCTCGGAGACTGAAAGCATCCTTATGGACGTTTTCCTTACTATCATCGACTTTTACTGTAACCTGAACACTTTGCCGGGTCCAGAATTTTTACTAAAAGATTATTGTATGACGAGAGCAATAAAAGAAGGATTAATTTCAAGAAGACACTGTCAAAAAAGGAGTGTCTGCAATATTTCATAAGACTAAAAATAACAATAACATCAGCATAACCCGGGTTCCACCGCCACGAATGGGATTACTCCCATGGAGAAATTTGGGTACAATTATGTCCTTGAACTGCGGATTAGAAAAAGTCTATGATAGGTATTACTGTTGCTTCATCAATGCTCGTTCTCATATCCAATTATGAAATTAATTGGAATAGACTTTGATATAAATAAAATAGTTGACTTACAAGCCCATTGAACCTGTGTGAACGAAGTTATTCTTCGTAGGAATAATGAGACAATGCATAAGATATTCTCGAGTAGTTTGAGACTGGACTCCAAATATCTTCTTCTACAATATTGGGCTCCAAGGGCCTCATGTTTGATACGGACTCGGAGTAGCTTGTAATTGAACTCAAAAGAACGATTCAAAAGACACGAACCATATATGAAAATCACTTACTAGTACTGGTTATGTTCACCTTTGCGTTTGCAAGATGTACGAGATTGTTGTAAGTCTTTCCCACCTCATAAAAAGGACTCACTTCCGAGGGTAAATATCCCCCTGACCAACGTTCACCATAAGGAGTAAATGCAAAACCCTGTATGTATGCAGAAGGAACCGAGGTATCTAAAACTTGGGTCGAGTTCATGAAAGTAGTGTTAGTAATCGCGGAAGCAATATTCCGTCGTATATGTATTTACCAAGATCAGCATCAAGCGTTTGAACGGGATATCTATAATACTTCTAGTCTCAGAATTCGACATCTATACAACAAAACGTTCTTTCTATTAGAATGCCTCCTCTGCCGGACCCTCCAACTTCTACACTTTATGAAGCAAACAAACAATGGATTTTTAGGTCTATGACCTTGCGTATTCTAATTTTAATTTAAACATAATGTAATTTCTCAAACGTCTCGTATTATAGAAATGCTCTAAGTACTGTAATTTCTTTTCGATTTCTTTTTTTCTTTCTTTTTCTTGTCCAATAGTTACAGGAGACCTTTGGGCTGAAGATCGAAATTTAAAATTCAAAAATGTTCACAAGATGTTACGAATAAGTAATAGATTCTTTGACAAAACTTCGCGCCAAACGCTTGAAATCTTCGAAAGTTGTAACGGGGAGGTAGAACGGTAGAAGGCCTAACGCTAAACATTCAAACAACCCCATACACGCGATTCTGCCGTCCCTAATTACGTAACCATTCTTCCTCATGCAAGCGTATTTGGCAGAGAAATACTTGTCAGGACCAAAAGCCGACGCGATCTTAGCTCGAGCTGGTATCTCTAAAAGGAAAAAGAAGCGTAAGGCTGGGGAAGCGGTTGTTAGTGAACATGGTTACAATGTTCAAGATGACGATGGCGGATGGGGCGCTGCTGGGGGCGATGAACCAGACGAAGAAGCTGAGCTTGTTGTGGCAAGCGACCGTAGCTTTAAAAAGCGCAAAGCAGGGGAATCTTGGGAGACTATTCGCCCAGCAGCAAATGACGCTACACGGGAAGATCCTGTACCTGCGGACGAACAACCTGTTGTTGTTCAAACCGAGTCTGAGGTTCCAATGGGAGGCTTGTTGACTGCCGAGCAAATGAGGAAAAAATTCGGACCGAAAGAGGCTGAGAAA